AAACAATTGTAGATTGCAGCTCAAGGTGTTCAGAAGACTCTGCGTTTTTTTCAGCGTCTTCACCTAGGATAGAGGACTATATCGTCTCCATATTCTAAGTCAGCGAGATTATTCCCTGGTGGCAAGTCAATCCCTGAGTCGCTGAAGTCACTTAGGGTTAAGTCCATTAGTACATCTGTGATGAAATTGAATAGAAATGGGGATAATGGGCATCCCTGACGGACACCAGTAGTTGTCACCGTTTCACATGACAACTCGCCGTAAGCCCTCACCTGGCTGCATGAGTTAGAGTAGAGTGTCTTGATCAGTGCAGTGTATTTTCTGGGCATTCCCTGTACAGTCAAGCATCGTCAGAGTACCTCTCGGTTGACAGAATCGAATTCCGCCTTAGGTCAAGAAATATAATGATTGTTGGACGCCGGTAGGAATGCCTATGTTCTAGGATCTGTCGAATCTGTCGTGTACAACGTACTCACATATTGTCTGAAGTAAAGTTTTATTGTTCAAAAAATGTTTGATAGTTTTAGTTTACATAAAGTTGTGCGCGTACAGACTGCCATTTCTAAATGATGTACATGACTTAAGAGTCAATGTGTTTAAATATTGATTGGAGTGCTTTTTTCTTCTCGTAGACCACATTTTGTCATTAATTATTGGGCACTATGGCAGAGTAAAATTCCATTACAGAATTAATTTATTTGGTAAAAGCATACAGTGGTGTCAATAAATAATACTGTATCACTGCTTTTATCAAATTAATTCCTCCTATGATGATATTTAGAAGATTGTTTTACTTTCGAAACGCATACGCTTCACCAATCTTTAATTTGTTTCACAGAAAAGTGGGACAACATCAAGGGTTGCCAGTGCTGTTCATTTGGTATGATTTGTGAAAAAGTTTTATGTTGTGTAGGGCTTCCTTTGGAAGGTGTAATAAATGTTTATGGAAAGCATTTTCAAACCATTTGTCATCGAGATACTTATCAAGTCTTTGCTAAAATATCCATTCTGTATTCTTCATTTTAATGTATAGTGCAGTATGTCTATTTGTGTCAACATTGTCGTGTGTTCATAAAAGTCTTCTTCTAATAGTACCTTGGAGTAGTTTATTATAAACCAACTTTATTTGGTGCAGTAGTTATGGAAATGTTATTTTTTTAGGGGTAGGGGATTATTTCATAGTCATTTTCCTCTAACCATACATAAAGACCAAGCTGTCAATGTTTTATAACATTGCAAATTCCTACACTAAATAAGTGTTGGTATATGTATAGACTCTTTTACCAGTTATTCTTACATGTAAGAAATCTTTATACATGCTATGAAAACTAACGAATATCAAGTGTTGGTTTGCAGAGATTGATTGATTGTTTACAGAATAATCACCAATTGACCTCAGTTGGAGAACCACTGAGAAACCAAGGAGTACTGGACCCCCACCCTTTTGTCCTAGTTTGGGATTCTTCGTCAGTATGCACCCCCCGAGGTTGGAAACCAGGACCTTACACTCTTCAGTAGGCGAGCTTGTAGATTATCTAACCACTAAGACACTATCCATTGGTTCATGAAATCAAACTCCTTCCATGAATCCCGGTCGCTGCATACTGATGAACAGTTCCAAACTAGGTTAAAGGAGTTATCCAGTAGTTTCTGGCTTTCTTATAGTTCTATAACTGATGTTAACTCGTGGTCCATCTTGAAAATAAAGAATATAATGAGGTAGGTATGTTATCTCCTTATCCTGAGCACATCTGAAGTCTAACATTTCTCAGAAGGAATTTAATATTTTACCAGTGTTAAGGTGGCACAGCACAGTGGTTAGGACTCTCGCCGACCATGCATATGGCCCGGGGTTCGAGCCCACGCCGACGCACATCTGATATCTATGGTCGGCCTGCGAAATTTGGGCTACTGATATCTACGCTGAAAATTCCATACTTTTATCAAAAATATGGTGTGGAATCAAGCTGTAATCAAAAATAAAAAAAAAATAATATTAAATTTCGTTTAAAAACGACAATCATTTCAAGCCTTCCATATTATTAGAATGTGTTCACTACCATTTAAACATTTGCTGCATCATTTGCATTACCGTATGTGTGTACTTATATAGAACCCCTTGTTGAGCTCTGTACTATTTTGTTTCAATTGACTTAAGAATAGAATCTGTGCACTGTGGTGGAGACTAATTCCATTGTGCATAAAATTCATTTTGATGAAGTCTCACAGTGTTGTACGGTAGTATTTACTGAAGAAGTTTCGAGAACAATTTATTACTGCTCATGGTCATATCAAGGCACTACTTACCCTAACTTTCCAATATCATTTATATAATTCCCTTATTTTTCATCGCTTGATTTGATTCGTGGTAGTATTTTGGATATTTCCGGTATAATTGATGAGCCATTCCTATTGCATGTGTTAGGTGTAGACCCGATGAACAAGGATTTAGTAATCAACCTCCCTCTCCACCTACCTAGATTGCCTTTTTAAAATGTTAATCCTCTCCCACCCTTTTGTATGGTTGGGTATTAATGCATGCAGTGCAACTGCTGAGCTTTTTTCCTAAATTACTTATCTTCACGAGGCCAATCATTCTAACTTAAGCTGAATACTTATGTTTTGACAATCTGACCACCCGCGATCTACTAGTTTGACCTATGTAGCTGACTTCACTCACAATCATTGCAAGGTATTTTGTAAATCGGGTCAACAGGATCCTTTAACCTACAGAGCTTGTCCTGAGTGAGTTTGTAGGTTTAAATGCTACCCAATTCTGCTTTATTAAGAATCCTACTTAGGGTTTCACATGTCCCTTCATTGTATCATAAAACTATAGGTATCAAAAATGTACAGAATAATGACAACATGAAGAATAGGGAATTTAAATCATCAATTGTACTTCCATACAAAGAAGGAACCTCAGAAACCTTAAGGAGAATTCGTAACAATGCAGGAATGAAAGTGGTAGCCATTTAAACCCACAAACTCAGAAATAAGCTTTGCCGGTTAAAGAACTCTGTTGAACTAATTAAACAAAACAATTTAGTTTATCTAATAACCTGCTTGAATGACAGCCAGGTCAAATACATAAGTCAAAGTAGTAGAACGGGGTAAGTGAGAATAGCGGAGCACAAAAACCTAGCAAAATCTAGACTGGTTGACCCCAATAAGATAAGAAATCTGGAGAATAGCTCAGCTATTGCACTACATGCAATTACACACAACCATATGATAGAATGTTATAAAGTGACAGTTTTGAAATTTAACGCAACAAGGTGGAGGGAGAGATTGATAATGGAAGCTTTGTTTATCGAATCAACTGCAAATACATATAATGGGAATGATTCAACACTTATCCCAGACATCTGGAGAATTCTACTACGACTACAACAAAAATAGGAAAAAATGAAGAAGACTATGAAACGAAAGTTTCGGATTTGTGTGTTTAGAACTGATACGATTATGAGCAATAAATTGTGTTGGAAACGTTATCCAGTAAATGACTCTGTTTTGCCGTATGGAACTACATACTACGACAGTGCCCAGTTTTACACATTAAGTCTTCGAGTAACTTGAGATGAATCAGTGACTGATACTATCTGCCTACTAAAACATGAATAGCAGTAAAAGAAATGCTAAATTTTTGAACTACCAGTTCAAACCTCAATGTTTAAACCATGGAACCCACAGGCGGTAGTAAAAATTAAAAAAAAACAACCTGGATACTAACATGTTTACAACGTTAGCTTATGCTGACTTTGCTGCCACAGAGTTTGATTTCCTTACAAAACTGTAGTCAGTGTGTTGTAGAGCAACGAAATGTGTATTTAGTCCTATTCGAGACTAGTCAGACATCGTCGAAGCGTCCTTACTAGGAGCCAACATATAAACGGAAGTCAGACATTTTTATTCAATCAATTCATGGGAAAAATGGAAATTGACTTAAAAAAACTACAAAATATACATACGTGTCACACACAGTAATATTGATTTTGTTTTAATTCAGAGATTGCAGTAATTCGCGACAAGTAATACTAGAGAATGCCTATATGAAGACGTCATATGTCAAGCGATTCACAAAGGAAAGTTCACCGGAGCGTTCAAAGTGAAGACATAAGTAAGACAAGGCTGACTATCACCAATGAAATTCCTGACTCTGGGGACTGGATTAAGCCTCAGTCCGTGTGGAACGAGAAAACAGGAATACATTGGGCCAACAAGACGGATAGAAGATATCGCAATTATTGCAATGTGTAGAAATTGTCTATTACCTAAGAACTATTATTATAGACAGAATAGGTTACATGATAGAAATCAACTAGGAGGAGCATACATTCCATATAGTGGCAAATGGAGGATTCTATCGAAGAATGTTTACCACCTGGGTTAAATTAATGAAGAAAGTAAATACCTCAGCAGTTTGAAACTATCTCGGTCGGTTTGGAAGCAACAATGTTGGAATTGAATATATATTTCTACGTAAAATTAAATACGGTGAATAAATTGAAGTTGGAAATGTTCAACATTCAGTTAGTTTTATAAGAGATGTCACTTGGATAATTGAAAACTATTGGGTGCACTGCTCATTTGTTTGGGTGTCTGTAGAGGTAAGCCGCGCTGATTTTTCGAGGTATTTTACCCGGTACCTACAAGTTGCTCCACCCGGTTGGTTGAGTTATCAGCTGCTTTGGCGATGAATTCTTTGTCAATTTGTTATCTAACTTTACCCTCACGAAAGGCTTTGAATAATACTGACGTCACCTTGACTTGATGGATGCCACTGGTTTGACTCATTGTTTGTAATCTGAGGATATCTACCCAGATTAATTTTTAGATTAGGGGCTTTTCATGAATGTTGCTTCGTGACGAAATGTACCAACTTGTCTTGTTATTTATCTTTTTTTTTATATGAGAAGTTTCCCTGTTATATACCGAAAATATGTGGGATATGGTTTTGTTTCAACTCATCGTATTTGTCTATTTTATTCACTATTCAGTTCGACCTTCTACAAATGGGCTATACGGGGATATATATGAATAGGTGATTCTATTACTATTATTATTATTATTGTTATTTGTATCATCAAATTTTGATTGTGAACAATTCAAACAGATATTTTGTACTAATTTTCACCTTTGTTAAGCCCTAGATAACAATAAACGTTTATCATTGTGTATTGCATTTCATCCAAATGCACTTTTTGTTATCCATCCATTGATTGATATATAAGCATTTCTGATTTCCTTATTTCCTTTGATTCTTCTCACTATTGATCGGCAGTGTTTTTATTTTACCCGAAATCTGTACATAATTTCTTATTTCCTCCGTTGTTAAATTTCATTTTTTTTGCAATAGGTCGGATTAAATGTGTATAAATGTCTATATATTAAAAGAAAAATCAGATTTTTGAAGTACTACTTTATATTAGTTCATTTGCTTATGTGTGTGTGTGTGTGTGTGTGTGTTGACAGTGGCGTTTATTAGTGGTGTTCTGTGTTGTGTAGTTGACATTAGTTCTATCAGACAGTAAGGTATTCTGTCGTTGGCACACCTGTTAGGACTCACCAACCAAACACATGGTCTCCGGTTCGATCCCCTGTTGCCACACACCCGATTTCAGTGGTCAGCCTGCAAAATTTGGGCTACCGGTATCACATGCTGAAAATTCTTATTTTTATTTTATTTATTTTTTTATAAAATAAAAAAAATAAATAAAATAAGGTTTGTTGTATATTACATATAGTGAGTGTACTGCATAGCAGTTCAGTCTGTTCTCCTTTATGACTATTAGAGACATGGTCATTGAAAGTGGAAGTTGTTATGAAGAGATCAGCTGTCTTTGATTACACATGTTTGCATATTATCTCCCGTGTTAACTGTTATATTATGATGAGTAATGTTTAGATTAGGCGTAAAGTGTTAGTTAAGTAAGAAAGGGAAGTCAACTGATGAAGCTGCGTAACTATATTGCTTCAATTTTAACTCACAGGGTAGTAAAGTTACAGATATCCAATGTTATGCACCTACAAACATCACAGAGCAAGAAGAAAAGGAAGACTGTTGTAAACAGTAATGGGCAACATTCCGAATGGTGACATCAAAATCCTAACATGAATGTTAAACTGGGAGTAGACAATACCGTAAGCGAATTCATCATAAGTTGAGAGGCTCTCAGCGAATTGAATGAGAATGGAGAACTCTCCACAGAGTTTCGCGCCTCTGGTGATTTGGAGGTAGCGTGTACAAGCACAAGGATATACACAAGGCAACATGGATTTCACTTGATGGACATACTAAGAACCGTATAGATTTCATTGCTGTCTTCAGAAAGTGGAGACAGCCTTCTGAACACAAAGTTAGGAAGGGGAGTAGATTTGGACTCAGACCGTCATCTAGTTCAAGGAACCTTCAGGGTCAAGTTGAAATCTTTCAAAACAGCTGGATAAAGACCACAATTCAAGTTCAACACTCAGAAACTGAAAGACAAAACTACAAAAGATAACTTCACCGCAGCTATTGGAGCAAAGCTGGAGCACCACTTGGCATCACTGAGGAAACCTGTGTGGAACTCTAAAGGTAATGTTCAGGGAAACATGTACAACTGTTTTAGGAGGAAAGAATAGTCAAGACATAGAATGGCTCTCAACAGATACCTAGAAACTAATGAAGAGAGAAGTATGGCGAAATAGGAGTTGATCGAATGCAAAGATGGACAACAGAAGAAAAAGCTGAGGTCAGTGTACATCGCATTGAATAAGGAAGTGAAGAGGAGTGCTAGGAAAGACAGTGCTATAGCACATTAGCACCTGAAACAGAAGAGACTGCAGGTGAAAGATACCTCAGAACATTATATCATATAACAAAGTCTCTTTCTGGGAAGAGATCAGCACAGATGAAATCAATGAAATATACCGAAGGGAATCAAATTACCGATGAAGATAAACAGTGGGCTAACCAATTCAAAGGATTGTTGAATCTACCATCACATGTCCAGAAATACCACCGATAACCGCGGTACTGCCAGTGGACACCAGTCCTCCAGCAAAAGCAGAACCCTTGAATGTAGTCAAACCACTGAAGTTCGGGAAGACTGCAGAACTAGACAGAATTCGTTTGGAAGAGCTGGGAAGGGCACATACCTCAACGAATATCCTCAAGTCGTTGTTGCACAAAGTTTTGAAGGGAGGGAAGGTACGTATTGATTGGTAGAGAGGTTACCTCGTCAAACAAACATAGAAGGGCGATTTAGGTCTCTGCGACAACTGGCCTGGAATCTTACTCTTGTCCACGCCGAGCAAAATATTATGTCGTATCATTGTTGAGAGAATAAATGGGGTTCTGGATGCAGAAATCCGTCGAGAACAACTTGGATTCGGGAAAAGAAAACCATGTACAGGTCAAAAAGCAACTCTACACATCATCTAACAGAATGCCAGTCAAACATTTACCTCAACTTCATCGACGTTCAAAAGGATTTTGACGATGAAGTAATTTGCAAACTGCTTCAACAATATATCGTGCCTCAAACCTTTATCACCTTCATTCAATAGCTGTATGATAATGTCACGTGTCAGGCGGTCTACAACGGAAAACTGTGAAGGCAGGAGTAAGACAAGACTAACGACTATCACTGATACTATTCCTGATTGTGGTGGAACGGATCATCCAACAGACCATGGGAAGCGAGAAGAAACTTTGGACCGATAAAAAGACTCCAGATGATATGGACTTCGCCGGCGACTTATGTCTAAATTCATTTAAATTCGAAGACTTACAGACGAAAACTAAGTGGCTGAAGAAACTAGCGACGAAGACAGGACTCCAGGTGAACATAGAGAAGATGGAGGTGAAGATAACCAACCAACGCTAAAAACAGCAACACCCAGCACCAATCACCATCAACGGGAGAGATTTAACAGAGGTTACTTCCTTCACTTATGTAGGAAGTATCGTTTCAACTACAGGCGAAGAGATGAAGATGTCACAGCCAGTCAGAATCGGAAAGGCGAGATACACATTCATCAACCTGAAACCAGTTTGGAAATCTGCACTTCGCGGCATAAGGAACAAGATTCGGATTTTGAACACCAGTGTCAAGTCGGCCGTTCTATACGGGTCAGTAACTTGCACTGCGTGTCATGGCGAGGATTTCCATTAAGTTACAGACTTTTTTCAACAGCTGCCCACTTCGCTGGCTGGCTCCATACTGAAGATCAAGTGACCAGCCATAAATGATTAGTAAAAAGAAACTCTAGCTGGGAACTAACCAACCAAGAACCGATTGCTCAACGAATATGTAGGAGCAAATGGAGATGGATTGATCGGGCATACATTGAGGAGACCGTCGAATGACATCGCGCTCAATGCAGGTCATTGCTGGAGTGGAATCCAAATAGGAAGCGACGACTGGGTCGTCGGTGCGAAGGTGACATGGAGGAGATAGTTGGAATAGGAAATAAGAGATTATGGGCAATCGTGGACCCAGCCGAAGGAGACAGTGGAGAATAGAAGAAAGTGGGGATGTGCTTTTAAAGCCCTATGTTCCACTCGTAACTCAAGGAAATAATAATAGATGTTCAGTTAGCTAAAATTAGTAACAGAACTCTGGGTCTTTTCTACAGGAAACCTACATGAAATGGACGGGTCGCATTCATACAGAATCTTGTTTTGATGAAGGTGAAATAAAAAATTTCCAAATCGATTTGTCCATCCAGTGGAAACACAAACGAGTTGTAGTCTTGTCTACAGCGTAATTGGGAATCTTCTAAAAATGGTGAGAATATAACTTGTGCAGAATATAAAAGGGTATGCCTGTAGTTTACAATCACTGGATTTACGGTCGACATAACCGCTCAAAGATTTTCCGTTATTCTTTTGAGAAAAACTTTCTTTAATTCTGTTAACGTTATATTTTCTCTTCACTCCTTATCTCATTTCTTTCCAACTTACATTGCTAAATGTGTATAATTGTGCTACGTGAAACTTTTCCAATTATATAACATAATCCAACGTAGGTTATTTAATATCGCATTTTTCTTGGTAGATTCTCAGGTACCTACTACTTTCAACTACATCATTACTTTCGAATGTTCTCGATATATATAAGATCTGTAGTCTGCTAATATGCGTCCAAAAATATTTTCCTTTTGGTTACCAAACCAGTTATATATATTCAGAGAAAGTCACTCCATTAATTCCTAGATTATCATTATTCCTGCGGGTCCTAAGTGAAACACTAGACTTCAGCAGCAGTACATTTCCATTCACTCTGTTATTTGAAGTCTTTTTTAACTAGCTGTACGATTTCCTTTAACCTCTCATCTCCTCTTCACACTATCTGCTTCATATAGCATCTTGCATGTGTGCCCAACTTTTTGTTTCCCTTACAAGTTCCACTCTAGGATGTATGATATCATTCAACGTTCTCCTCAGTGTATATCGGTTCCATTTCCGTCAGAATACTAATTGTTAATTAATTTTCTGAGTTTCTTGTTGCTAATTCATTCTGATTATCTGGTCTTCATCAGTATGGGGCTACCGAGGGTAACTGTTGGTGAAAATCTACAGCCTGTCAGAAGTGTATTATAACGGATTGCTTAATTTAATCTTAGTTCTCGTTTAATGTATTTTCGTTATTGCTGTAGACTGGATATTGTGACAGACAGCCGGCAACGAGGAGACAGGCATAAAATAGACCCACACAAAAAACTTGGAGGTTCTGGAATTCGTCGATGGTGTGTGTGTCTGATTTCCCACAAACTGGAAGATATGCAAGTGATGAAAAGAGGCAAGTTGGCGATAGAAGAAGAAGCATCAAGAATAGGCCTTCAGGAGAACCTAGAGAAAACAGAGGTGTTAAAGATTCAGATCAGAGACTTGGTGCGTCATGAAGAGCACCTCGAACAAACTACAGACTCATCGACAGCTGTCTTCGCTGAATACTACTCAAGATCAGATGGCCGGCCAGAAAAGATCAGCAATAGTGAGGGATCTCTGGTAGCGAACCAACCAGGAACCGATTGTGCAACAAATAAGCAGGA